TCAAAGTTCATGTCAGTGACAGAGGAAAGTATAAAATGGCGATTAACCTTAAAAGGGGAACACTTTAGCCCCGAAAATGTTTGGCTCAAAAGTGCACGTGTCAGTATGAACATGGCAATCATTTCAAAAGGGAATAGTCAGGAATATATACATCCGCAAAATAATTTAAGGCGTGAATTTTGTTCGCATTCAATATTGTGTTTCTCAGCGAGGCATCCGTAACCTGTGATCACGAATACTGAAAGAAACGTAACTGTTAAGTAAAACGATCCATCCCTTTGCGTTGGCAATCAAGGCTTGGACTTCACGCGAAGAGCGTAGGTATCTATAAAGGCTTCGGCTCTAGGTGCCACCAAATTGATTTCGTGAAGGACCTTGTCACCACGAATCAGTCTTTCGCGAACCCAATCCAATACTTCCGGACTATCACCATCTTCCTTGACAGAACTGTAAAGGGGGCTACGTTCGACAAAAGCATACCTCTTAGCGAGATCGGCGCACGGCACCAATTGACGTTTAACGTGGGCCTCAAAGGTATGAGACCAGTTTAAAGAAGAACAATTACCATCCCCAGGATAGGTTTGCATTGTAAAAGCAAAAAGGTTTTTTGGCGCTGGAGCCCAAATCTTGTTAAACGGTCTGAATAGCAGTGAGAAAATATCAGACTTTGGGTAGTCGCAGTATCGGTTATTTGACGTAGCAATTTCATGTATGTGGGTGGCGTTAGAGATGTAGTAGCCAATATCCACAATGGGCCATGCCCAACCGCAGCGATTGAGGATACGGCTACCATCAACATCCAGCGAAGAATTGTTCAGCACAATTAGTTTTGCTGAAAGTTTGTCCCTCCGACCACATTGCTGGATGACATAATTTGGCAGGAGGCTGCGCATCTTCTTCCGCAATGCCGGTCTGACCTCCTTGTCGACAAGGACATCAATATCATCGTCCCAGGGAATAATATCATGGTGCCGAAAAGATCCAAGCAGAGTACCACCGTATAACATCCACTTGTCACTGAAACCGAGGTCCTCCATGACATTAACAAATGTGTTGAATAGATTCCAAAGAGGGCGCATTTGTTGTCGACTGAATTGTGCGCCTAGGGGTAATGGGCGGGTACCCGGAGCACCCACCGGAGAAGGTAAATATTCCGGTTCCAGCCAACGAAGATTCTCCGAATTTGGAAGTCTTCCACGCTGCTCTTTCGTGTGACCAGTGTGAACCGCAAATGTCTGCCATTCCAGCGATCGTAGTCTCAAGATGTCAAAGTTTGATGTGTAAAGATTTGAAGGTGATCTTACAGAGGAATAAAATAATGCATTGGAAAGAAGAAGCATTGCAATCAATATGGCGGCTGCAGTCTTTAGAGTGACATGCATCCGTAGCATTATTGTGGATGTTCAATTTCCGAGGTCCGGTCCTTTGGGCTGGATCCCTATTTATTTTGAAACGACAAAACAATAGTCAACGCAAAATGGAACTTTCAGAAAATACGTGGTTCCTCCATTAAGTTAGGAAGGATATCAGAAAAAACTGCTTTTTACAATGGAAGAGTCAATCGGGAGCATGACATTTTGTAGTGACTTGTTTGATCGATCATCTTTCAAGGAAGGCAAACTTATAATGAAATGCAGTCGACGTAAAGTACACAAATAGTCAAGCAGTGCTATTAGCGCGGCACCTGCTATCTGGGTTTGATTTTTTTAATCTACAGTCAAACCGCTAATATCCACTAGAGCACTAATTGGTAGCTGCAATTTGTGTCACGCCATGCTGGACATAAATATCATTTCCAATGTGGTAAATTGACAACTGTACTTTTTTGTCGATCTGGTGTCATTGCGGTTCATTTTGGTCCATATACATTGGCTGCAGACTCTTCCATCTATCTTTGACATGTTTGTACACTCAAGCCAACTCGACACGCTGGTTGATATATGCATCATCGGAATG